AGCGGCGGCGGGCACACGCGCCGGCTCCGGCCCACGCACACTTGATGCGCTCCGACTTGCGAGCAGCGCCCACGCAACGACCACGCGCACGCACCCGTTGCCCGCCTCTCAGCACCTCGAACACCCTGGCCACGCTTACGCGCGTCCTTCTCCAGGAGGTGCGGGATGCGAAAGCAAGGGTCTCCTACCTCCTAATGTGACAGGTGCATTGCGGTTGACGACCCCTGGGCCTTGGATTCCCTCAGCTGGGCCCAGGACCACACCAAGCCGCCGCCCTACTGGTCAGCGCACTGGTCGGGTCAGGGCTGGAGGGGATGAGCCGTCGCCGCACCCTACACGCCGGCAGGGAGCCAACACCTCGAGGTGTTAGCAGGGATGCCAGATGTTTGGCCTGGCGTGGGTGGGCAGTCCAGATGGAAACTGTCCACTCAGACCAGTGCTAGCAGTGTCCAGTATAGCAGCTTCTGGATCAAGACTCCGTTCCCATCTATACACCTATCCTAGCCCCTTGCTTTCTGGCCCCTGAAAGCAGTGTCAGGATAGGCCACACAGACTGTGTGTGTGTGTTCTATTAGAAATCTGTGTTGGGGTCAAGCTGTCTGCAAGTCATCCTTGGCATCTTCCTATCCTTTGAGGCCCATATAAAAAGAAACCTCCATTTCATGTCAATTCTGTTTCCTAAGTATCTTTCCAATCCACCATTCCTGTTTCCACCACTCGTGGCTTCGGCTCCTACTGTAGTAGCCGCCATCAGGTTTTCCTGTGCCCTCTCTAAGTTTAGCTACATCTTCACACAGCAGTCAGCTTGGGCAGTTCAGAGCTCGTGTCGTCCTTTGTCAGAATAAAATCTACGCTCGGGTACTGTAACTCAGTTCTCTCTCTCTCTCTCTCTCTCTCTCTCTCTCTCTCTCTCTCTCTCTCCCTCTTCCTCTCTCTCCCTCCCTCCCCCCTCTCTCTCTCTTCAGGGTTTCTTTATATAGTCCTGCTGTCCTTGAATCTGCTCTGTAGATTCGGCTGGCCTCAAACTAAGAGAGAACTCAGAGATCCTTCTGCCCCTGCCTCTGCCTCCCAAGTATGCACCATGCTCAGCTTCTAAGTGAAGTCTTGAAAAGCAGGGAAGAGGACGGGCAATGTGCAAAGAGATGGCTGTGAGAACTGCGGCACACTTAGGTTTCCCCTGCGGATCCGACTCCAGCAATGCTCAGGCACTGACTCCTCTGTGTGACTAGACTGAGAACAACCCTGGGAGGTAACTACAGCAGGCCACTTTCCCCTTCAGAAGAGTGGAAATAGTTTATGGAAGCGAGTGAAGTGGCTAAGATTACTGGTATTGCGGCCAGACCCTCTCTTGAAGCTTCTGGCCATCTAGGCAGATACTTAGCTGATCCTTGATCCTGTCTATGAACTAGGAATAATTGATCCCCCTCTTATAATTCATACAAAATGCTTAGTGTAGGACTCTGGATACACTGAAAATGCTCCGTAAACCTTAGCTCTCTTGGTTGGGATGGGTTCTGAGAAAGGGAAAGAACTGCATTCTACAGTGAACTTGTGACAGGGTAGGGACGGAGTCCTAACTGTCAGAACTACGCAACTGTAAGTGCTTTACATATATTAACCCTTAATCCTCTGGGTAAATACTATTCTGCCTACTTCCCTACGGAGAGGTGGGGGAACTGTTCAAGGTCCTACATCTGTCTGTGGCAGGGCTGGAACTGGAACTGGGGCAGGCCACCTCCTGAGACGGCTGTCACCACACTCACAGCATGTTCTTTTATCCTGTTGTAATTTTCATTTTTCAAGAAACATTTTAGTAAGTTTGAGTCTTATTTCTCATTAATGGATGAAGTAGATACCTGGTCTCATTTTCTACCAAAGAAAAATAAGTCCACGTCTGGAGTACAGGGGCTGGAGCTCAGCTCCCAAGGTCACATCTCACCGTCTCCCACCATCTCCCACTCCTGCCCTGTTTTCAAACTCATCTCTGATCTCTCTCTCTCTCTCTCTCTCTCTCTCTCTCTCTCTCCCTCTCTTTCACTAGACCAGTGCAGTACTGAAGGAAGTGGTATAATAAAACAGGAGTTCATCTGTAACTGATTGTGAATAATCAATTGATCCACAGATTATTTTCAATCAAAGATGATGAAAGACTATGGATGTCTGTCCCTTCTTGTTTCCAGATACTTGCCAAAAACTCGTTGGAAGAGTGGGACATCCAATCAGAAATTAATTCAGTGAGCTACACTGGAAGTGTGTCATCAAGAAGAATGATCCAGGCTGACAAGGAACGGAATGGCTAAGAGAGATGAAAAGAACAGCAAAAAGTAGATGGCTGGTACTCTGGCTTCCAGCTGAGCTGCAGACAGCAGGGACAGCATTGCCACAGTAATAACAATTCCAAAAACTTGGACGGGCTTCAGAGCTTTTGTCAATCTTCAGAGAATCCAGGTTGCAAAGCAACTAATTAGTGTGAATTCTAAAGGACAGGAGCAAGAAGAAGACATAGAATTAAGCACTGATTTACTTCTGAGGGGGTATGAAATCTCCATGCATGAAGGGAAGAAGAATTAGAAGAACTAGCTAAAATGTTTATTGAACTGTTAACCGCCCACTGTGGCTCGGACAGGAGCAGAATCTGTGGGAGTCCAAATGACAGAACAGTGGCAGAGACAACTCCGTCCCTTACACTGGCCTAGCACAAGACAGAAATTTCCAGGCACAGAGATAGTGCCGGCCATCTTGTGTCCATAGATAAGTACACATGTGGAAGCATATTCTTAAAAACTGAATACTGTGTGCTGGTGCACGCCTTTAATCTCAGCACTTGGGAGGCAGAGGCTGGCGGATCTCTGAGTTCAAGGCCACCCTGGTCTACAGAGCGAGTTCTAGGACAGCCAGGGCTACACAGAGAAACCCTTTCTAGAAAAACCAAAAACAACAACAGCAACAAAAATCCCTTGTCAGGAGTCAAAGTAATGAGGAGGCCCAGATGCTATAGCCTCTGAGTTCAGCAGTAAAAA